TACTCCTTTTCAAGACAAGCTTTTTTTGTCGTTAATGTACGACAGGAGTAAGAGATCTATTCTATATTTTTGTTAAACTCTTTCTGTAGTCCTGTTAAACTAACTGGTTTAGCCAGTATACAGAATGATTGTCTTTTTTTTGATAAAGCAAACTTCACTTTCTATTAATTATATTATCTGTGATATATGCATAGGTATCTCCAATGGAAGTAATTATTTATCGCTTCTATTTTTTACTGCAGGATGCCCAGGAATCTGAACTTAAGGTCCAAGTCTGCATTTATGCCTTTGATCTTTTATATCTGAACGGGGTTTCTTTGGTCGAACAACCTTTCCGTCTTCGTCGCGATCTCCTCAGGTAGTTTTTAAACCTAAAGTTACATCCTAATTACATTATTTGCAATTCGGTTTACGGCCTAGACAACTAAGCCAGGATTTTGCTAATTCCCTCTTCTTTCATTCAACTTGACATGATATTGTATCGTATTTGGGGCCCTATATATAATTATCATTTGTTTATGCTCACCCTTGCTTTATGGTCTTGTTAATAATGCTTTTATCTTTACTATAATGCCTCGATTTCTTTAGAACCAGGCTGTTTTTAATTTTAGGAGCTGTTTTGCTGAGATAACGGGTCAATTTATGATGGCATCCTCTATGGACTCTACTGATACAGAAGAAATCGCTCATTTTTTAGAGCAATCAATTAAGGGTAGATACTTAATTTCCTTTTATTTTTTCCTTTATAGTTAAACTATATATATATATTTCAAAATTAGTGGATTAATTTTTCCGTTTTATTTTCCTTATTCAAAAAAATCATTTGGTTTTATTCTCCTTAAGAAATTGTATCCCAATTTTTAGGAAATTGTGAGGGGCTTATGGTCAAAACATTAGATTTTCAATCCACTTATGAAATTGCTAAGCGTTCTCACAACTGGCTCAAACTTAAGAAAGATTATCTAGACGGTATCGGTGACACCCTAGATCTGGTTGTGATCGGTGGCTTTCATGGCTCGGGAAAACGAGCCGGTCGATACGGAGGCTTTCTATTGTCTTGCTATGATCAGGAAACTGAAGAGTATCAGACAATATGCAAGGTATGTTGTGTTTATTTTATCTATTGCGCTATCTGCTTCATGTCCATTAAAAATAGTCTTATACCACTAAACAGCCATTTATTAATGATTCGTCAATATGCAGTTTTTAAGATTCACTAGTGAATTAAGTGGTGAGTTAATTTTATTCCGTGCTGATGCGTTACATAAAATCTTTTTATCAGTTCAGGTTTATATGGTACATCTGACCAATTACATTATTTTGAATTTGTCTGAACTTGTTTTCGCAGTTTGGTTGTGCTATTAGGGTGAATTATCGGAGTGTCCTCTACTATTTTTATCATGATCTTTTAAAGCTTTGATGGAACTTTACTTAATTAACGGTCTGATTCTGATAACATTTTCAAAAGATCCAATACAGGGTACTCTATTCAAATTCTTGACTCGAGGTCATTCGGAGAATGCGATCAAGATACAGGCCACACTTCGGTCTCGATACCTTCAAGTGCT